GACAGCATGCGGGAGCTGCTGATCTTGAGTGTGCTGCTGGGGGCCGTCCTTGGCCATGAAGACTTTGTTGGGCACCAGGTGCTCCGAATCTCTGCAGCTGATGAAGCCCAGGTACAGAAGGTGAAGGAGCTGGAGGACCTGGAGCACCTGCAGCTGGACTTCTGGAGGGGCCCAACCAGGCCTGACTCCCCCATCGACGTCCGAGTGCCCTTTTCTGGACTCCAGGCTACCAAAATCTTCCTAGAGACCCATGGCATCAGGTACGAGACCATGATTGAGGACGTGCAGTCGCTGCTGGATCAGGAGCAGGAGCAGATGTTTGCCTTCCGGTCCCTGTTCACCTCCACCGAGTCCTTTAACTACGCCACCTACCACACCCTGCAGGAGATCTATGACTTTATGGATATACTGGTCGCTGAGAACCCCCAGCTTGTCAGCAAGATCAAGATCGGTGATACCTATGAAAGTCGTCCTATTTATGTGCTGAAGTTTAGTACAGGAGGGAACAATCGTCCGGCCATCTGGATTGACACGGGCATCCATTCCCGGGAGTGGGTCACCCAAGCCAGCGGAGTCTGGTTTGCCAAGAAGATCACACAAGACTATGGCCATGATGAAGTTTTAACTTCTGTTCTTAACACCATGGACATCTTCCTGGAGATTGTCACCAACCCTGATGGTTTTGCTTACACCCAGAGCACGAACCGCCTGTGGCGCAAGACCCGGTCCCACGGTACAGGCTCTATCTGTGTTGGGGTGGACCCCAACAGGAACTGGGACGCCGGCTTTGGGTTGACTGGAGCCAGCAGCAACCCCTGCTCAGAGACTTACCACGGCAGTTTTGCCAATTCTGAAGTGGAAGTCAAATCCATTGTGGACTTTGTGAAGAACCATGGGAACATCAAGGCCTTCATCTCCATCCACAGCTACTCCCAGCTCCTCCTCTATCCCTACGGCTATAAAGAAGAACCAGCCTCCGACCAGAAAGAGCTGGATCAGCTAGCCCAGTCTGCTGTGACGGCCCTGGCCTCTCTGTACGGGACCAAATACAAGTATGGCAGCATCATCAAAGCAATTTATCAAGCCAGTGGAAGCAGCATCGACTGGGCCTACAACCAGGGCATCAAGTACTCCTTCACCTTTGAGCTCCGCGACACTGGGCGCTATGGCTTCCTCTTGCCGGCCTCCCAGATTGTCCCCACGGCCCAGGAGACGTGGCTGGGACTTCGGGTCATCATGGACTACACCCACAGGAACCCTTACTGAAAACCGACCTTTTGGCACCCTCCTCTTCTTCCTCTCTGGCCCCATCCAGGCACCCAAATAAAGCTTGCATGTACAAG